GGACACGGACACGGACGCGGACACGGGAGTCGTGGGGCAGCCGCAGTCGGCCTGGGCTGGCGGCTTCAGACCCCCACCCCTGGGAAAGGGAGGGAGCGGGACGTGCCTCCCTGCTTCCCCGCGCTCTTCAAAATCAAAATCACCCCAAAACTCACCCAGGCCTTTCCCACACCCACCGGAGCCCACCAGTACTGTGAGACCCCGGTGGGTCGCTCCCAGCTCCGCAAGCGTGCGGGGATGCTCGGGGCGCTTGGCCGGCCTGGGTCCGGGAGCACGTGCCCCGGGTGTACCGGGGCCACACGCGTGCCACGGGCGCTGGCAGGCATGCGAGGGGCCTGGGGGGCAAGAGGCAGCAGCAGGCCTGGGGGGTCGGTGCACGCCACATGCGTGCGGGGAGTTCGCAGCTGCCAGGATATGGGGGGGGGGGGGGCCGAGCTCTGCCCGCCAGCTGTCTGGGAACATAAATCTTTCTGTTTAATCGCAGCTTGGAGAGACGCGCCATTGTCTGCGGGACCAACCCAGCCCCACAAAAACCTGCCGGCCCCATCTGCTCTGCCCTCACGCCCCCCCCTTCCTCGCCTCCCGCCGGCTGGGGGACATCAGCTCACCGCAAGTGCAGCCGTCCCTGCCAGCTCTTGCATGTCAGGCACTGGCCTTGGCACCTTTGGGTGTCCCCTGCCTCCCTCCCAGCCTCAGTTTCCCTTTTCGGGCAGACGCCATTTTGCAGCACGGCCACGGGAGCACGGTGGGGCTTGGCCACCCACCACTCTGGGGGATACGAGGCGATGGAGGAAGCCACCAAGGACCAAATTCCTTTTCCCCTTTCAACACCAAAGAGCCCCAGCTCATCTTTGGCAGGGGACACCAAGAACCCCCAACCCCAAAACAGAGAAACACAAGCCCCATCTTGGCCCTGAGCACCCAAGGCTGCGGGTGCGGAGCCCAAAAGCTGCAGCTCCCTGCGAGGCCCCAAGACGGCAGATGGCCGGAGGAGAGGCGGCGGCGGCGGCAGAGAGGCAGGTGCAGAGGAAAATTGCTAATTAGCTCCGGGACATTAAGCTCCCATTATTGTGAGAGGGAACTCGACATCTTCTGACCGGCACAGACCCGGGAGGCAGGTCTGGAGGGGGGGACACACACGGTGGTCTCCAGCCTCATCCCCTTGTTTTGCTGCTTCTGCTGGTGTGAAATCCACCCCATCCCACCCTGGTATCACCCCCGGGCCACCCCAAAAGCCATGGGATAGCGATAACAGGCAGGGAGCTGCAGGCACAGCTCTTTCCCTCTGGGTTTTCTCCCAAAAAATGGGGGGAAAAAAAATCCCCAGCGTGGAGCAGGTAACAGACTCAAAGGCAGGGGAGCATGCAGAGAAGGTGCACGGGGAGAAGGAGTCGGTGCTTGGAGGAAGAGGAGCACCCCGTTACAGACCCAGAGATGAAGAACGTCGCTCTGGCATGATCAGTCTGGATTTGGGCTTAACAAAGCCTTACAGCATCCCCACCCAGGCAGGTCCTGAGCCTGTACTTAGTGCCCAGAAGCTCATCAAACAGTAACAGGGCTCAAGAAACAAGTTTTTCAGCCCAGTTTTACCAGTGACAAGTCAAACCCACCCAGCTGGAGTTTTGGAAGTGGGAATTGGCACCGGCCCTGTGGGTGTGGGCGAGACCCCGAAACCCCAGCGAGGGGTCTACCCCTTCGTGGGGAGGCGAGGAGGGCACAGCTCTCGTCCCTGTGTCCCCAACCACATGCTGAGCCTGGAAATACCAGCCCAGGCCCAGCACTGGGTGGATGGATGGATGGATGGACGGACGGGTGGATGGACAGATGGGTGGATGGGTGGGCGGATGGACGGACTCTGAGATACCAAGCCTGGCAGCAGCACCTCCAAAGGGACCCGGCTTTGGCTCTGCCCTGCTCTTTCCCAAGGGGATGGGGCAACCCACCCTGAGCCCCAAGGGAGCCAGCCCAGCTCCCCCCGGCAGCCAGGCTGCCTCTCCCGGCTCATCCGCCAGCCTTATCTATATGCCTGCGTCATCCTGCTTCCCTTCCTATCTTAATACAGCTCTATTTTTGGCAGCAGGAAACCCCTCCTGGGCTGATAACACCCCTTTGGAAAGTGATCAGAAGAATTTCCTCTTTTTTTCCTAATGTTGGAGGTAAGAAAAGCCTCAGCCTTTTCATTTTCCCCTGGAGAAGGTGGAATAGCAGCCGGCAGCCCCACACCGGGCCGGCCCAGGTGGGAGCATGTGGGTGGAAAGCCCGGCTGGGGTCGTGCCATGGGACAGGGACTTGTGGCTCTGGCTGGATCCATGGGAACAGCGGGCAAGCGCAGGTGCCGATGTCCCGGGCTCCCTGGGTGACACACAACTCCGCAATGCAAAACCCTCCCACTGACCTCACCGTCGAGCCTTATCGGAGAGGCGTTGGAGTGAGACGAATGAGCCAAGAAAATACTCGCGGGATGAGATCACCTCGGCTGTCTTCGTGACTCCCAAAATGCCTCGGCCATGCTGAGCCCAAATAACTGGGGTGTTGCAGGCAGGTGCCCACAATGGAGAGGAGGTTTGCAGCTGGCTTTAGGCTGGGCTCAGTGCATTTCCCAGGGCGATGGTCACGGTGGTGAGAGCGTCCTCCAGCCGCCGAGCCCTGCTGCTGGGCTGCTGGATGCTGAACTCCCCAAACCACTCCATGGCGATTTGCCCTATAAAGCTCCCTCCAGGTACCTGCTTCTGTCCCAAGCTCCCGATTCAAAGTGCAAGGAGTTCAAGGAATCACAGAAGTGCCTTTCCTGTACTCTTTCCCGGTGCCAGGATTGGTGTGAGGGTGCCAGGATGCTGCGTCCCCGTGGGCAGGGAGCAAAGGCAGCACCAAGGCTCTTCCTCTCCACCCAGCATCCCAGCCGGGTGCTCCAGTCCCTGGACATACCCCCACAAGACACCGGACCTGATCAATGACTCCTCTTCCCCACCCTCTGATACTGGTTTCTCTCCGGCAGCTTGAAATGGGAGTCGTGCCATTTTGGGGGTATCCCAGCTCTGCTCCCTCCATGGGGATGCCTGGCCTGGGGTGCTGCTGTGTGACAGGGTGAACCCCATTCCTGTGGCTTTTCCCACAGCCATGACTCAGAGGGGGAGCACTCCTGGGGAGGGCTTGGGTGGTAACAGTGTCCTCCTGGCTTTTGGCCAGTCCCCTCACTCCTTTTGTTGCTCCTTCATGAGCTGGTGACTGATACAGCTCTTCCTTGGTGGAGGAAGGAGAGGAAAGATCCCTTCCTGCCATGGGGAAACCCAAGCAGCCTTGGTTCAGGGGCTCAGCCAGAGCGATGGGGGGACCAGGGCCAGTCCTGTTGGAAAAAGGCTGATAGGGATATCCCCACAGGCAGCCATTCCCCCAAGACATGGCTCCAGCGCCGCTCCTACCTGCCCGATTGCTCCAGGAAAAGAGGAGGTTGCCTCCACACCTCAGATGTCTGTCCCGGAGCCAGAGTTCTGAGACTCTGCCTTGTCTGGGGGGATGCTGGGTCTGACCCAGGTGAGGATCGCACAAGGTTGGGGTGCTCCTGCTCCCCCCACCATGCTTTGTCCTGTGTGCTCTGCTCTTCTCCTGGGGCAGGGCAGGACCACCTGCCATGAAGCTGGGACATCCCAAAACTGGCACCTGGGTAACCCAGGGGACATCCCCACTCCCCAGCATGGGTAGGTACTTTTGCTGCAGATGTCCATCAGTCAGACACCCAGGAAGGTGATGCCACAGGTGCGTTCACAAAGCCCCTTTCAGGAATTTGGGGAGAGGAAAAGTGTGGCTGGAAAACCCCCCAGGGGCTGCTGCTCATCCATGGGATAACATGGATTCACGAGCAAGACACAGTCAGGGATGCAATCCTGAGTGTGCACACTGGTATCTTCTGCACTGCCGCAGCTCCACCCTCTCAGCCATCCCCGCTGCCGGCTCCGGCAGCTGCTCAGCAGGACCAAAACTGATTCCTGGCGGTGGGGACAGCCTCAAGCCCTGCCCAGCCTTTGGGAAGCTGTCGCCGCAGGACCCCAGCAAGGAGGCAGCGAGGCTGGATGCCTCTGTGCCCTCCAGCCCCGCTAAACAGGCAGCACAGGCCAAACTCTGTTGTAAGTTAGGAAACACGAGGGATAACATGCAAACTTGTGACAAAGCCATGTGGCCATCAGAAGGGGGCCAGGGTTCTTCTCCTCCTC